AAATCCAGTCTCTTCTTCTTCTTCTTCTACCTCACAGGGTGTCTGTTGTGGGGAGGGGAAGGGAAAGGGGTTTGTCAGCCGCTCTGAGACACCTTTGGGTAGTGAAGGGCGGGGTATAAATCCAATTTCCTCTCCTCCTCCCCTTCACGCTCCCCATCACCCTGTGGGGCAGGTTAGGCTGAAAGAGAGGGGCGGGCCCAAGGTGATCCAGCGGAACAGGGATCTGAGCCAGGTCTCCTCAGGCATCGAGTAACGAAACAGAGGGCAGGAGCACCCGGATCCAAGTTTAGAGTGAGGTTTTTTCCTAACCCACTGGACATGGGAGTTCAAGCAGCAAAGAGAAGGTCAGACTCTGAATATTTATACCGGACCTGAGCAATCCAGAGATTTCCACACTCTCCTGCCTACATGCGCATGACGTTCCCTATTATTGCATCAGACCACTAACATCAAGGTCAGTATTGTCTACTCAGAGAGCCAGTTCGGTGTCGTGGTTAGGAGCGCAGACTCTAATCTGGGAGAACCGGGTTTGATTCCTCACTTCTCTGCACGCAGTTGCTGGTGTGACCTTGGGTCAGTCGCAAGTTCTCTCAGAGCTGTTCTCTCAAGGGCAGCCCTCGGAAGACCTCTCTCAGCCCCACTTACCTCACAGGGTGTCTGTTGTGGGGTTGTTGTTCAGTCGCACAGTCGAGTCCGACTCTTCGCGACCCCATGGACCAGCTCCCACCAGGCCCTCTTGTTTTCCACTGTCCTCTGAAGTTTGCTCAATTTCATGTTCGTTGCATCAATGACACTGTCCAACCATCTCATCCTTTGCCGTCCCCGTCTTCTTTGACCTTCAATCTTTCCCAGCATATTGTCTACTCTGACTGGCAGCCGCTCTCCAGGGTCTCAGGCGGAGGTCTTTCCCATCACCTACTACCTGGTCCATTTAACTGGAGACACCGAGGACTGAACCTGGGACCTTCTGCATGCCAAGCAGAAGCTCTACCTCTGAGCCACGGCCCTTCTTTACTGCTCTCCAGGGTCTCAGGCGGAGGTCTTTCTCATCACCTACTACCTGGTCCATTTAACTGGAGACACCGAGGATTGAACCTGGGACCTTCTGCAAGCCAAGCAGAGGCTCTACCTCTGAGCCACGGCCCCTCTCCAGGGGCTAACAATGTACCCTGTTGTGCCTGCAAAGGGTGCTGGGCCCAAGCAGAGAGAGAGAGAGTCCAGCTTCACTGATTACACACCCTCTCCGAGCCCACAGACAGAACCCACCGTGCATTCCACGGTCGCCCAGGCTCCTCTTCGGGAAGGCGGGCACATCCGGGGCAAAGACGCTGGTCTCCGAGTGGACGTGGTCTTCCCCGTGGTGGCCCTGGCCCTGAGACGGGAAGAGCATGAGCCGCTGGCCTTTCAGGTTGAGCCGCGCCGGGCTGATGAGGGGCCGGCGGTAGCGCAGGGAACCGGAGCTGGATGTCACCGAGCCGGCCACAGAGGGCGCTGGCGAGGGAACAGGGGAGGGGACGCAGCTTCCGGACAGGAGGGAGAAATATTCTGGAAGAGAGGGGCACGGGAAAGAAGAGGGGATGTTTAAAAAAAAAAAAAAGAGCTTTCTCGGTATCCCGACGTCATCCAGTCCAGCGCTTTGTTTCCCACAAGTGGCTAACCAGATGCCCCCAAAGGCCTGCAAGCAGGACATGGGTGCTAAAGACTCCCCACTACTGTTTTAACTGGATTCCAGAGGTAGGCTGCCTGTGGACATGGAGGCTCGATTTAGCCATCCAGGCGAATAGACATGAGCAATGTTCCCTCTAAGCTGTGGAGTCTTGTGAGCAAAAATCCCACTTTGTGAGTTACTGGCATTATAGTTGTGGGCGAGCGATTTGGCTACTGCCTAAATTAGTTTGCTCTGGGGCCATCCTTCCTGAGCTAAGACAAAACCGTGTGAGCTGAAGGCTAAAAAACTGTGAGCTAGCTCACACTAACTCAGATTAGAGGGAACACTGGACATGAGTAGACCTGTCTGTCATAAAAGCGCCTACTCTCCCTTTTCTGAGAACTATGCTATGGGTTGTAACCAATGCTTCCTCTAAGCTGTGGAGTCCTGTGAGCAAAAATTCTACTTTGTGAGCATTTGTGCATGAGCGATTTGGCTCCTGCATAAATTGGTTTGCTCTGGAGCCCTCCTTTCTGAGCTAAGAGAAAAATGTGTGAGCCAGGGGTAAAAAACTGTGAAGCTAGCTCACACTAACTCAGCTTAGAGGGAACACTGACTGTAACTACGCCCGGTGGCAGGGAGTTCCGCAGCCTATGTAAAATGCTTTCTTTTTCTCCAAAATGTGAAAAGGAGGAAAAAATCGAATCCCATCATTCAGAATTTTGTCTTGTCATCCTCCCATCCCGCTCTTTCACAGAGTTGCTCACAACAAGGGTACACGCGGCTCCCCACGAACTCTCCTGTCCAGCCAGACCTGCCTCACTTCAGAAGAGCTGTCAGAATATTCTCCGAGGCCGAGTGTCTCCCTCTGCTAGCAGAAAAGATATTTCTCCATGCGCCCGGAACACAAAATTATCGATGTGATTTCATTTTCAGTTGTTCCTAGGGCTTATCAAGACAAAACAGGCACACGCAATCCAGCCACAATGCTTCAAGCCGATCAACATTTGCAGGAAGGCCTGGAAATATTTGGGTCAACATGTTCCCCCCCCCTTTCAACTCCTAAAAGAGCAGCCAAATATTGAAAGGGGGGGGGATAACTAAAGCGGCAAACAAATGGGGGAGGGGCAGATACACCCTCAGCAAAACCAAAGCACCCTCGCTTTCTGAGACGCTTGCAAAGATCTAGACTGCGTTCCGGCCTTCCTCAAAGACCCTCAGAATGGCATTTCGTAGAGCAAAACCAAAACTGCAAAAAGGGCAAGCAGAACAGTTGCGCCCTTCAGCGCCAGTGCGTCTGGACCAGACTTAAACGGCGTTGACGGTTGACCCTTCTCTCCCAGAGCATGCTGGGAAATAGCAGTCCTGCAAAAGACGGCCAGGGATCAGCAGAGAATCCCTCTGTTGGAAGAGAATCACTCAGAACTTTGCAGCTCGTCATTCAATTCCTGGGGAAGGGGCGGGGGGGGGGGGGGGAGAAAGAGAGGGAGGGATCCAGACGGGGTCGGAAGGGCACCAGAGATGTCAGGGGAAGGAGAAGGGGGGGAAAAACCTCCAAAGTTCTTTCATTCTTGCAGAGCTGGGGAGTACAAAGAAAAGGCGTTTCAAAAGCCGTGCTCCACACCCCTTGGGTTAAAAGCCACCGAACCGCTAACAAGGTTAGTTCTTGCAAAGAGCCAGTTTGGTGTCGTGGCTAAGAGCGCGGATTCTAAACTTGGGAGAACTGGGTTTGATTCCCCCACTCCTCCTCCACGTGCAGCCGCTGATGTGACCTTGGGTCAGTCATAAGTTCCCTCAGAGCTGTTCTCTCAGGGGCAGTTTTCAGAAGAGCTCTCTCAGCCCCACCAACCTCACAGGCAGTGTTCCCTCTGAGCTGAGTTAGCGAGAGCTAGCTCACAGTTTTCTTAGCCTCCAGCTCACAGATTTCTGTCTGAGCTCTGGAAGGATGGCTCCAGAGCAGGCTAATTTATGCAGTACCCAAATGGCTCGCTCACAGCTTTAATGCCAGTCGCTCACAAAGTAGAATTTTTGCTCACAGGACTCCACAGCTTAGAGGGACCATCAAGGTCAGTGTTGTCTACACAGGCTGGCAGCCGCTTTCCAAGGTCTCAGGCTGAAGTCTTTTACACCACCTACTGCCTGATCCTTTCAACCGGAGAGGCTGGGGATTGAACCTGGGACCTTCTGCGTGCAAAGCAGAGGCTCTCACACTGAGCCACAGCTCCTCCCCACCCTCGGTCCATCAAGGTCAGTCTTGTCTACTCAGACTGGCAGCAGCTCTCCAGGGTCTCAGGCAGGGGTCTTTCACATCACCTCCTGCCTGATCCTTTCAACCGGAGATGCCGGGGATTGAACCTGGGACCTTCTGCATGCCAAGCAGAGGCTCTGCCACTGAGCCACTGCCCCTCCCGACATTTGTTCAAATGTTTTATTGTTTCTGTGAGCACTGCCTTGGGGACCCCGATCGGGTCCGAAAGGCAGCACCAAGTTATTTTTAATAACACACTACAATGACATAATCAAAACAGCTGCAGTAATCAACCACCACCACAAAAACCCCTCCTTCAATCCAAACAACACGACAGAACAGTAAAAACGCAGCTACACAACCCACCTACGAAGAGGTCCAAAAAGGTCTCACGCTTTGGGGTGAACTGCCTGCATCCAGAAAACTAGCACCTCAGGGAACGAGGTAGTCAAGCAGCGTGCCCCCCTTTTTAAATTGAAAAGATTCTGACGCTGCCTTTCTGCCCGATCAGGGTCCACAAGGCGGCAAACGTAAAAACAGTACAGCAATGAAAAACAACACTTAAAATTAAGAATAATTCCATTAAAAACACATTCACAGCTGACACTAGGAGGAGGGCCCGTAACCGGCCTTCCCCCACTCCTCTTTTCTCCCACCAACCATATTTCAAGCTCGACGGAGAGACACCTTGGCTCTCACCTGACACGGGCGACTCCTTCGAAAGGGAGGTCTGTGACGGGGGGCGGCTTCCGCTGAACAGATAACCAGAATCTTGGAAGCAAAACAGAAACAGAGACGGACAGTCAAAAAAGAGTGGGAAAAGTGCCAAGAGAAGATTACAGCCCAGATAATCTTAAATGGGGGGGGGAGGTTGGATATATACCCCGCCCTTCACTACCCAAAGGAGTCTCAGTGAGGTTTACAATCCCCTTTCCCTTCCCCACAACAGACACCCTGTGAGGTAGGCGGGGCTGAGGGAGCTCTTTTGAGGACTGCTCCCGAGAGAACAGCTCTGAGAGAACTTGTGACTGACCCAAGGCCACACCAGCAGTTGCATGTGGAGGAGTGGGGAATCAAACCCGGTTCTCCCAGATTAGAGTCTGCACACTTAACCACTGCACCAAACTGAGCTGGTTTTATGGGCTTTCTGTTGTCCTTGGCAGACAGAGTAGGGGGCAATTTTGCATGCAGATAAAAGATGCCACAGGTGATCGACGTGGGAAGGTTCAACAGGGACTACGGGGTGTTTTTGTATTCTTTTTCCACCCGAGGCTTCTCCAAAATTGTTCTGGGCAGTTTTAGCAGCTTGGAATAAACTTCAGAACAGTCAGTGTGGGAGGGGAAAATACCCGGAGAGTCGCATGAGCTCATACACAGACAAACCCCCCCCAAAGAGGAAGGAGTAAATGGGGCAAATCAGTAGGTGGGGGAGATGTTGGGCGGAGATTGGAGGGAGAGACTCCAAAGCAAACTTGGCGCTTTTGAAAAAGGGAGAGGCAGAGGGATGGCTTTAATGGCTGCTAAGCTTCACTTTTGTTCACCGGAAGTTTTGTTTTGCTTAGCTGATTTAATGGGGCCAATTCTCTCTCGGTTCCAATTTCGGACATTTCTGGAATGCTAGTGATTTTGTCTTTTAGTTCTCAAACGGTAGTTTCCTGTTGGAAACTACCTTGGATGTTTTCAGGACAAGTTGATATCGTTGAAGTTGGGTTCGTCTTTGCAAACAAACGGTAAGGTGTGAAGCGACTATGTGCTGAACCATTCCACCGACCCAGTATCTCCTGCTCTGACTGGCAGCGGGAACACACTGGTCCAGTATCTCCTGCTCTGACTGGCAGCGGCAGCAGTCCTACTCTGACTGGCAGAAGCCTTTGCCAGCACTAACTGGAGATGCCAGTGATGACATTCAGGACCTTCATCATGCAAAGTATGTCTGCCGCATTCCTGTCCAATGGTACCTCCATGTTCAGAGGCAGTCTAACTCTGAATGCTAAGATACAGTGGGCAAAACAGGGAAAAGACGAAGTGTCCCAAATTATCCCACATATTATAGTACTCCGTACATTAATGAGGATTCCCATTTTGCAGAGTAGCAAGGATCAGGATGGCTGGTGAAGCCAAGGGAAAGGCCACTGGCCCCTAAAGTCAAAGTCTTTATTCTTTTATATGGTCACAGACCAGCACAAGTGACTTTGACACTAGTCGGTGGCTGCCTCACGATTTCACAGCAAGATCTGACTCGGGGGCAGTGTTCCCTCTAAGCGGAGTCAGTGTGAGCTAGCTCACAGTTTTTTAGCCTCCGGCTCACACATATTTGTCTCAGCTTAGGAAGGATGGGGCTCCAGAGCAAACTCATGCAGTAGCCAGATTGCTCGCTCACAACTTTAATGCCGGTCGCTCACAAAGTAGAAGCTTTGCTCACAAGACTCCACGGCTTAGAGGGAGCATTGCTTGGGAGCACCCTGACTCACTTGCCCAACAACTAAGTACACCACCTCTGCATCCAACTAAGTTACTAGAACAAGATATTCCAGGCGGAGGACTTCTGGTCCTGACAATCTCAGCTGGGGAGACGCATGCGCACAGAGGACTAGGAAGTCCAAGAAGGCAGCAAAAGCAAGAAACAAAATCATTAGTTGTTGTCAGGGGTCATTTCGTAGAAAAAGAGGTGCAGGAGCACATTAGCATATGCCACACCCCCTGACATCACCGGAAGTGTGTCAGAAGGCAACACCCACCGCTCAGGCTCCACTGGACTGTTTTGGATTCCTAGCTATTGTGTGTGTGTGTGTGGGGGGGAACGTGCAGATCTGTCCTCGCAGAGGAGGGAGAGCTTGTGCCTGAATAAAACTTGGTCTTAAAGGTGCCACTGGACTGTTTTGGACTGGGGGGGCGCCCTCTGCAGCTTACCTGGCTGCTTCTTGCTGCTGGGAGCAGGGGGTGGGGCTTGTTGTATGTGCCCGCCCCCTGGGCTCTTTACTGCCGGAGCTCTGCTCCTGTGCGCTCCTGCAGGAAATGACCCCTGGTTGTTGTAGATTTTCTCACATTGACACTGAGAGTACTCCATCTTTCTGTGTTGTACCTCTGAGGATGCCAGTCACAGCTGCTGGCGAAATGTCGGGTCCTACGATACCAAGACCATGGCCATACAGCCTGGAACATCTACAACAACTAATGAACTCCGGCCGTGAAAGCCCTCGACAACATATTCAAAAATGAAATCAGCGTATCGTACCAGTTCTGGCCAGGGAAGGAATTGTGCCCAGTGAGAGGGCCCGGTTTAGCCGTCCGGGAAGAGAAGAGGAGGAAGTTCGCCGTGGGGAATGGAAGAACTGCTGGTTTGTGAACGGCAGAACGCTGGGAGGCGTTGGGATGAAAACAGATGGAGCGGCGGAAGGATACGGGAAGCCCGTCCCAGCGCTGTTGGGGAATGCTGCAACCGGGTCTCCGGGGAGGTACCTGTGAATAATGCACACGAAAGGTTATTCAAGCCAAGGATGAACCCCCTGCACGGACTGTACCACATCAAATGTCAATTGCTAAAAATACTAGTGGGTATAATGGCTACAGTGTCAGACTAAGACTGGAAAGACCCTGATTCAAACCCTCCGTTGGCCGGGAAGCTCACGTCACCCTGGGCTACTCTCTCTCTCTCCAACTTGGTGTAGTAGTTAAGTGCGCGGACTCTAATCTGGGAGAACCTGGTTTGATTCCCCACTCCTCCACTTGCAGCTGCTGGATGACCTTGGGCAAGTCACATTTCTGTCCAGGGTTCTTTGTGTAGCAGGAACTCCTTTGCATATTAGGCCACACACCCCTGATGTAGCTCCAAGAGCTTACAGTAGCCCCTGTAAGAAGAGCTCTGTAAGCTTTTGGAGGGTTGGCTACATTAGGGCTGTGTGGACTAATAGGCAAAGGCGTTCCTGCTACAAAAAGAGCCCTGGAACTTCTGTCAGAGCTGTTCTTGAAAAAGAGCAGTTTCTCTCAGAGCTCTCTCAGCCCCACCTATCTCACAGGGTGAGGGGAAGGGAAAGGAGTTTGCAAGCCGCTCTGAGACTCTGAGTGAAGGGCAGGGTATAAAAATCCAATCTCTTCTTCTCCTTCTCTCTCTGCATGACCTACCTTGCAGAGTTGTTGTGTTAAAGATAGAAACTGTAGAAATCAGCATTATCTGGACTGTGCTACATTTTGGGAGAATTATTTTAAAATGCTTTTGCACTGTGCTCTGGAAGACTTGAGCTCGTTCGGCGATCACCCTGAGTGTTTTTTTCCAGTGTAAAAATGGATTCTGTGGATGGTATACCTGCAAAGAGTGTTTGCAATACCAAATAATTCTTGACTTTGTTTAAAGGGGGGGAAGAGAACAGCTTTCTACCTCTCATTATTATTATTTTTAAATAAAGTTTTTTGGAATCACAAATGGTAGCACCGTCTCCAATATTGGGGGGGGGGCGCTTGCAAAAACCTCTCTGGTTTCCTTTTCCATACCACGTCCCTCCTACATGAAGTGGCCTTGTACTGAATAAGACCATCGGTCCATCAAAGTGCTGTCTACTGACTGGCGACGGCTTTCCCATCACCTCCGGCCTGGTCCTTTTAACTGGAGATGGTAGGGATCGAACCTGGGACCTTCCGCCTGCAAAGCCAAGGCCCTGCCTCTGAGCCACAAGCCCTCATTTCCCCACACACTGAGAACAGGAAAAGTTAGAAAACAAAACCATGACTGCCAAACATTAGAGGAGAGAGAGGTATTCAAGGGCTTATGTTGAGAGGCTCAGCTTCTGGAAAGCAAAATGCTGTGGACTTAAGAGACATAAAATTCCCAGAAAAATCAAAGCCACAGGGGAGGAAAACCTCTCCTGTAGAGTCACGACAGGTAGGACTGCCGACATGTTTGTACATTATGCTAAACTCGACTTTAAAACACTGAAGAACACCAAATTCTTTTAATAAGGTATTACCATTAAAACACATTATGGCATCTTAAATGTTTTACAGATTGCAAAATTATTTACATTTAAACAAAACCAAATCCCCAGAAATCTCAAAATTTCCCATTTTTTCCCTATTGCATGAACTGTGGGATGTTTTCTTGTTGCACATTTGGAAATGAGTGAACTGCTTTGTAAGAAAAAGGTTTCCTCACGGGATGGAGGCTTCCCCAAATTTCCCAGTTTTTCCACTGGATAAACATCTAAAAGGTCCTCAGACTTTCGTAGGCTCTACACTGAAAGTGTGAAAACCCTTGCCTTAAGAAGCATTTTACTTATTTTAAAAGAGAAAATATTTCAGAGGGTTTTCCGCACTCCCTCCCCCCAATGTTTTCACTGGAAAATCTGAAAGTCTTCTGGAGAAAACCAACCCCCCCCCCCCTTTCCTAATTTTCTTTCCTGGGCCTTCATATCTTTATACAGACTTCAGAGGGGTTCCCCCCCCCTGCAGACCTTTAGAACTGGCAGAAGCCACAAGAAGGAACCCAGCAAGGAAAAGAGGGTACAGCTGCCTCTCCCACAACACCACACCAGTATGCACCGCAAAAACCCCGTGCGAGAAAGACGTTGTCTTTAAGCAAGGTTACATCACCCTGGGCAATTCTGTGCCTGCCAGCCAGCCGATGTGGTTCTTTCAGGTCTTGCACATCACAGCACCGTCCAAATCCTCCCGCCCCCTCTACACACACACACACACACACAATTGCCAAATGCAAATTTGCTATAGGATCTGTGGAGGTTTTGCCAGAGCAATTCCAATCCCACCCATGCCACCTACCTTGGACTTGGCAGTCTCCATCCAAAACCAGACACCATCCCAGCAAAGACCACACCCTGGTCCCATTATCTCTCCCCGCTGCTCCTCCAGAACTCTTGCTACCCACGTCTTGGACCCCCTTCCTCTTAAGATTAACAGGGGGAAAACCCAGCTGGAGAGAGAGAGACCCGGTGTGACCCAGCACACATCGGCAACGTTCAGACAGACGCCAAACAAGTCGGCACTGGCTGATTCCTCTACCAACTGTGTGGTACATTTGCATTTCAGGTACTGCCAGACCTCTAGCATGTTATTCCAGACATCCCCAGGGAACTGGCATCAGAGGAGGTGCCAGTCTTTCATTGGCGAGGGCAAACAAAGCTTCAGACCCGGCTTCTCAGTTAGAACTCAAATCGGTTTACTCAACGACGTTTTAAAAACCAGTGAGATGAAATTCAGAAAGCGCGCTGGATATTTTTTTTTAGGACACCGTTATTTCAGTGTTCGACTGTAACATAAGAGGAATGAAAGGGAGAAAAATTAAGAGGGCTTTCCTCCCCTAATATTAAACGCTTTCGAGGGCTCTCACATTTACTTATTTATTGAAATTTATATCCCACCTTTGCTCATGGTTTCAAAGCGGGATCTGCCACTTCCCTGAAAATCTCAGAAAGTGATGCCTTCCAAAACTTTGGTAATTGGCCCACTGATTGAAACAACTGGATGGATCCTGTGGATTCATTCCCCGAGGGGAAGTGCTTCCTTTCGGCAGACAGAACCTTCCCCCTAAATTTATTTTATTTATTTATTTTATTCAATTTATACCCCGCCCTCCCCGCTACGCGGGCTCAGGGCGGCTTACAAGAGGCATATGCCAACATAAAACATATTTAAAATCATCACAATACAGAATAAATGGGACAGATGCACAGGATCCAACCCAATAACGCAACTGAATGTCTTACAAGGCAAGACGATCAGTCAACTGGAGCATGACGAGACCCTTCACAGTCTACAGAGAACAGGAGGGTGACACAACATGAACGCCATGGACAGTGTTAACTAAACAAGCCGTGATTGTTGAAAACTCTGGTCCTCTGGAGGACAGACTACGCAGAAAGAGCGTCCCTCTCTGAAGTTGCGGCCTCTGATCTACACTACCTCACTCACTTGCAAAGTACCAAGTTTTTGGCAAGAGATGAGAAACACCTTTATTTGCACAGAGGGAGGGAGGGAGGGAGGGAAACAGATTCAGAATACAGACTTCAGTTTCTCGGTTTGCACAAAGGGTTTTAGCTGCTGCTCAAGAGTAGGAGATTTGTCTTCCCATCTGCCGTCTAAAGAGAAACTGCTTTTCATGTTTCAGTGTTTAACTATCTGCGTTACCAGTTTTAAATTCCTGGATTCCCCCCCTCCCCTTTCCTCCAGCAGTTCTCTTATGCATTTTATTCCCGCACGTCATTTTACTGAAACTGTCTAGAAATCATTTCATTAACTGGAATGAAGGATTAAGGGATGCTGCAGCATTGCAACAGCGGTTTCTGAAAGTACAAGGAAGGAAGGGGAGGGCGGATCGTGCCCAGCTGCCCTCCTGACCACGACAGTCCCTCGCTCCCACAATTCTTGGCATAGCTGGGTGTGTGTGTGTGTGTGTGTCAAAAGCCCCCCTCCCCCCTGGTGGGAAAACTGGCAAGATTAAAACCGGAACAATCTTCTTTCAAGGAACCAGAGAGGAGGGGGGAGGGGGAAGCCTGGCTTAAAGAGTTCTTTTTTTCCAGCACAAGAACAGAGTGGATGACAGGCGCCCAGAGGTTACTGAACCAGCTGCAAACGCACTTCTGCATTCGATACAAGCGGCAGTGAAGCAAAAGGCAGGGAGCCAGAAACACTGCAAACATAATTTTCTGTGAGCAAGCAGCATCACTCCGCAGGGCTTGCTTCCGAGCAGACCCGCCTGCCTCCTGTGCTCCCCTCCTGCACAAAGACTCTCACACGCCTCCAGCCATTGCAGCCGGCAATTTGATGTGGCCTTAATCTGACGGTGCTGCTTTTAGGTTAAAAACACATGCCGGATATTTTCACTGGGAGAAGGACGGACGTGACAGCCAACGAGAGGCTGGGCCTACCGATGCCGGCACCACGGATAGGCCGGCTGGCCAGGTTCATCTGCATGTCTCGTCGCTATTGGCTAAGGACCGTCTCGGAGGGTTCTCAAGCTTCAAGATGCGAGGAATGGAGGAGTGTGTGTGCAATTGTCGGAAGGCGCAGAGGAGCCTGGTGGTGGCGTTTATGGAACTGCTTGGGGGGGGTACGACGACAATGCAAGACGGCAATTTCTGCAGCAGCCATGGCACAGAAGAGAGAAAGCCTGGACTGCACAACGCCTGCAAGATTGTGCCGGATCTTCTCTGTGTCCCTGATAAGACAAAAGGGCAGCAGCTCCAGAATCCTGGCACGTGGTGTGCGTGCCAGCCCATAATGCCACCTGTCTCTTCTCTGAACAGTACCCGCCCCTCAGGGTCTTCATCCAGGTATCTCTGTCACTAGAGCAGGCCGTGGGCAGCAGCCTGCAGAAAAGAGGAGAACCGGTGTGGGGTAGCAACTACAGTGTCAGGGCCAGGACTGGGTTCGAATCCCCACTCTTCTATGGAGCTCGCTCGGTGACGGGGGGGCGGGGAGGAGCTAACCTCTTGCTCTCGGACTCCCCCAGG